AACCCTACAGAAAAGAGACAGGTGAAAGGAGCTCCCCTGGTTGTGCCCACAGGAGCTGAGTGGCCATGGAGAGGTGATTCTCACCTGGCTACAACCTACTGCAGTGAGAAAGGGCTGGGGTTGTCCTCTCGCCCCAGGGGCAGGCTGCATATTCTTACCCCCAACCCACCCCAGTGCAATGATTTAAATGATGCATACACATTTTTCATTTTATTTTTCAGAAACCAAAAATGAATTAATTTAAGGTCCCAACACTGGGTAAATCTTCTAATAACTTGTATCTGAAGTTTCCTTTCTTCAGAGTTGATCTGAACATGTTTGATTTATCTTTTGATTCACTGAAACTGTAACGCTACATCTAGACTTGCATGATTTTCCGCAAATGCTTTTAATGGAAAAGTTTTCCGTTAAAAGCATTTGTGGAAAAGAGTGTCTAGATTGGCATGGACGCTTTTCCGCAAAAGCACTTTTCGCGATCAGGGCTTTTTCGTGCAAAACAAATCTGAGCTGTCTACACTGGCCCTTTTGCGCAAAAGCTTTTGCGCAAAAGGACTTTTGCCCAAACGGGAGCAACACAGTATTTCCACAAGAAGCACTGATTTCTTACATGAGATCGTCAGTGTTCATGTGGAAATTCAAGCGGTCAGTGTAGACAGCTGGCAAGTTTTCTGCAAAAGCAGCTGCATTTGCGGAAACTTGCCAGTCTAGACACAGCCTAAGTCTGTGGCATACACACAATGTACATTACAAAACAGTCTTTAATTGGATTTGCTAGATAATCACAGTCAAATTCTATATTATAGAAAATGTGAAGCATTCAGTTACAGTCCACATATTCCACTGCAGGTAATAGGTTTTTTACTTCAGGCATATTACTGAGCTGGTTTGTACTGAGAAGGTTACGCCCTTGTCTGATGGCTTTACAGTACATTGCACAATAACCTGTTATTATGTGATTTTTTACAATATTCTCCAAGGCAACATGAGCTCTTGTAATTGAAGTGAAATACTAAAACAGAGTTTTCTATGAAGTGTACTACCATTATGCATGATACCAATCTGGAGCTTTCTGCTATTAGTTCAATTACAAGAAAAAACATTAAAGTATCCCTACTACCTCTGTAGATTTATGCCATAAAGCAGAAAATGCTAAGACCAAGGCTAAGAGGATAGGTGGCTTTTTCATTTCCATGGTACTAGCCCGCAGAAAATCTGTCAGAATGTTGTCGCCTGCATGTCGTTATATATTTAATTTTTTTCTCTGTGAAGTGCTTCTTTTGAACGCAAAGGCTGTGGACCATAGAGCTAAATGTATTAAGAGAAGGGGTTCAATGTTCCCTCTTCCCTGCAGAATCTCAGAATTGTCAGGTTCTTGTGAAATTCCCAGGCAGTGCTGTTTGTGTTTGCACAAAATAAGTAAAATTAAATGTGGGGCAGGCACAGGGAGATGAGGGAATGTGTAGTGAATGTTACGGTGCCACAGGTTATTGTTATATTGGAGCCTTGGAATAAAATTCTGTTGAGCAAGGCTATGTTTAAACTAGTATTTTGTACAAGTCAATTCGTTTTCACTTTCAAGGCTTTGCTTTCCCCAAACATACCTATCCTCTCCTTTGCTATTGAATTGTCCTCTCCCACCTCCGTTCAGCCAGTGATGTAGCCTTCATTACCTACTTGTTAAATTTTCAACCAAACATCTTTGTGCTTACTCCCACACTGACTCTCAAGCCTGAAAGGAGCTCCCATGAACATCTGCAAAGCCACCTCGTTGTCCTCCTTCAAACCCCTCCTTAAAAACTTTCTCCTTAACGTGACCTTTACAAAACACAAAGTCCCACACCCTAAATAATAGCTAGGTGCATGGTGTATTCCCCTTGTCTGCCTTGTATATCCACCTCTTGTCACTGAGGGTATGTCTACACTAGCTCGTTAGTTCGAGCTAGGTAGGGTAATTAAGGCAACCGGAGTTGCAAATGAAGCCCGGGATTTAAATATCCCAGGCTTCATTTGCATGTTCCCAGGTGCCGCCATTTTTAAATCCCCCTTAGTCCGAACTCCGGAGTTGCAAATGAAGCCTGGGATTTAAATATCCCGGGCTTCATTTGCATGTTCCCGGGCGCCGCCATTTTTAAACCCCCCTTAGTCCGAACTCCGTGCCCGCAGCTACACGCGGCATGGAGCAGGTAGTTTGAATTAGAGATTCTAATTCGAACTACCGTTACTCCTCATTTCACGAGGAGTAATGGTAGTTTGAATTAGGATCTCTAATTCGAACTACATACTCCATGCCGTGTGTAGCCATGGCCATGGAGTTCGGACTAAGGGGGATTTAAAAATGGCGGCGCCCGGGAACATGCAAATAAAGCCCGGGATATTTAAATCCCAGGCTTCATTTGCAACTCCGGTTGCCCTAATTACCCTACCTAGCTTGAATTAACGAGCTAGTGTAGACATACCCTTACTTAGCTTATAAGCTCTTTAATACAGGGACTTCCCCCTCACCCTTTTTTTTCTGTCTCTACAACACCTAGTACAACAGAGCCTTGGTCTATGACTGGATCTCCTAGGTGCTATAATAATACAAATTTTAGTGAATTTTGATCCAAACAGTCCAAAGTGTAAATGTCAGCATAGCTCTTCAGTGTACTGTATGGAGGATGGCATTTTACTCTCCAAGGAGATGGATATGCTGGGGAAGGATGACATGGATATTACTTGTTTCAGAGCTACTTTATTAGCATCTAATATGATTTCTTGTCTACTCTATTGCTGACTTTTTGCAAGCCTCCAGGCAGCACTGCCTGGGAAAAAATGTGCTAGGTAGACATATGTCCTACCTACCCCTCCATAAGCACAGTCAAAAATAGTACAGTGAAGTCCAGGTTATCCGACCTTCACTCATCCAACCTTCCGGTTTATCTGACATAGCCATTCGACGTGCTCTTTACACGTCCATGCATCGCATACCGTCATGGCCGTAGCTTCGTTTCCTACTTTGCGCCAGTGCTTTATGTTTCTGCTGTGATTGTGTTTCATCTTTCCAATTCCATTTTCCCCTCAGTGCAATAATATAATTTTTGCAGTGTATAATATAATTTTATTATTTGAGAAACATGGTGAATCGGGATGACAATGACAATGAAGATGATGAAGATGAAGATACAAATGACAATGAAAAAACGGAGAGAATTAGTCATAGCGAAGGGGTCAAGGCTCTCGAGGCGGCACTGGCTTATGTTGAACAACAAGGGGAGGCAACTACTAGGGATGTTATGCTATTGAGACGCTGGCACGACCTCGCTGCAAGGAAGAGAAACAAAGCTGGGAAACAAACTTCAATCACTAATTATTTTAAACAATAACTTTAGCATTTTGCTCTACGGCAGTCTGTTAGTTGTTCTGTAGAATAATAGTTATTCTGTTATGTTAGTTGTTCTGTAGAATAATATTGTTACAGTATTACAGTTTGTTAGTTACATATTACAGTATGTTAGCTGTTCTGGAGAATGATGAGTAATAAACCTGATTTCATACCAGTTTCTGTTTTATCCGACATTCTCATTAATCCGACCATCCCTTGGTCCCGTTTATGTTGGATAATTGGGACTCTACTGTATATGCTTAGCCATAGGAAAAAACGAATATGGCTTTGAGTTGTGTCTGTCAGTCGCTATGCTCCTGAGAGCTGACTCTAGGGTGGAGTCTGCTGAGGTTGTGTGCCTCTGACGTGTGTTGTGAGGTTCTCCAACGCGAGTCTGTGTCTGTGGAGATATCACAGGGACTCATGAGGGTCTCCTCCCCTATTCTGTGGCTGCCCCCAGCTGTGTCTGGGCAGTTTTATGTAATGTGGCATTTATTTATATGGGACCAAGATTTGGCTCAGAGAAATATGTCTTAAAAATCAACAGGTCAGTGTCCGCGACTGACAAGCAAAGTCTGGAGTGACTGGAGTAATTCTGAAAGCCGGGGCCAAGATTTCAGGGATCTTCCAGAGAAATTCCAGAAAAAACATTTTTGAGCTGCCAATGTATTTGCTGTTGAAACAGGCCAATTATTTCATTAAACTCTCATTGCATCTGACTGCCCTCAAATCCTTCTGTTCCCCTGACTAACTACTGTAAATATCTAGTGGTAGATCCCCTGGGCCCTGCATACCAGCCTAGTGGTGCAAAGAAACCAAAAACTAATCCCAAATGCGCTGCTGTGGATTCTCTGGGCTAGTAGGTGGGGAAGAGGCATGTTAGAGGTGAAAGGGGACGAAAGCCAGACAGCAGCGTGAGAACTTGGCTGAGCCTTTGGTAGTAAGAGTATTTCCTGTGGCCCTAGCAGCCCCAGGAATGCAAAATAGAAAGGTGGTATAAGCTTGATAGAGCTGAGATGTATCTCCTAACCTTGCTTATGGTTGTTTAACATACATACATACACTTGTGTGTGTGTGTTTATGTATACACATGAGCTTTCAAGGGTAAAACCCACTTCATATATAATTTTTTAGTCTCTAAGGTGCCACAGGACTACTTGTTTTTACAGAAGATAGGAAATCTCTTTAGATAAAAGGAGAAAGCACTTTACTGCCAGATAGTACCTACTGAAAAGAACCTGGGTGTGTGGGGACTTTTATACAATTACCTTAAATAAGAAAAGAAAATGAAGTGATAGTTCTTTAGGGTAACATAGCTAGAGCTAATTACTGTAAAAAAAGATTTCAATGTTTACATGTATACACACAGATGGCCTCATTCTATTCTCACTTCCACCACAGCAACCCAAGAATTACTGTCAAGTCAATGGAAAGAACTGCATGCAGAGGTAGTGTGATAGAATCAGGATCAGAAGACAATAGCTACCTAGAAATGATGACAATGCCCTTAACAAAGAGGTTGCAGGTGAATCCTCCTGTTCTAATCAGGTGCTGCAAAACTGTGCAAAAATGACTTCCTGCTGTTAAATGGGTGTCTCTTTATGCTTGTTTTCCCTGCACAGCACTGCATATTGCCAGATTGTCACAGCCACCAAGTTATTTGTCGCAAAACCACAGTGGGGTTACGTCAGTGGGACTTTATGAACATCTCAGGACCTGTCACAAGATGTGGTGGTTCTAAGAGACCTGGCACCATGAAGATGAGGCAAATGGAACTCCCCAAAACAAACACAACTAACAGGACTCGGTCGAAAAAGGTTTGTCGGCTGTTGAGCTTTCTGTATTGTCTGAAAATGCTAGAAGAGTTTGATGCTAATATGCTCCTGAGTTTGGAAAAAATGACTCCAAAATGACCTTTACTTTTCCTGCAGCTATACTGCCCCATGCTGGGATCTTGTCAGATCTCATTAACTAATCAGTGTTGGGTCAGTCTTCATGGGCCAAATCCAAGGAACACCTAGTTGCTGCAGGAAGTAATGTTTATGGAGCCTCTGAGATGAAAGCAGGAGGCAGCAACATCTTTTCTTCCCTCTCCCCTGGAAAAAACAACATAAATCACTAGGAGTATGCAGTGGGTTATATACGGCCAGAAACGGAAACACTAGTATTTTGTAGTCTGGAAAGGAGAAATGTTATCTGGGGACTTGGCTGAGCTTTTCACTTTATGAAGGGTGTAGCCTAACCAATCTCTCCTTTTTATGTAATCCCTAACTAGGGAAGGAAGGAAATACTGCTTCATACAGTGTAATAGGTGATAATTCACTGCTGGCTGAAGCAGATTTTAGGGTCATGTTTAATATTGTATAATATTGATGCTCCTACAATCTAGTCTGCTACAATCTCAGGCTCTGCAACTCATTCTGACACTTCTGTGTTCATGAGTCCATGTTCTGGCACCTCTGTGTTCAAGTACAAGATTGAAGTAGGGTCTCTGAAGACTGTTCAGGGGCCAGAGGCATGAAGCCAGAGAGGAGGGGATCTGGAGACTGTTTAGGGCCAGGAGCATGAGGCTGGGATGGAGGGCTGTGGGGAATGTTAAAGATACAGGGGGGACAAGGTCTGGGTAGGGGAGCATAAAGCAGGAGTGGGGAATTCTGGGGACTGCTTGGAGCACATGAGGCTGGGGTGGGGAGCTCTGGGAATTTCTTGGGGTAGGTAGTATGAGGCAGTGGGGGTCTTTGGGGACTGCTCAGGGGTGAGGAGCATGAAGAGGTGTGGGGCTCTGGGGACTGCTCTGGGTATGGGGGATCTGGAGGACACACTCTGGGAATTGCTCAGGGGTAGAGAGCTTGGGGCATGAGGCCAGGATGGGGTACTCTGGGCTGGGGCGGAGGCCATGCTGAATTCAATGTGGCAGCACAAGCAGTTGCTGTGGGACCCAGTCAGGCATTTACCAGACAGGTTCTCTGGTAGGACCCAGGGCCCATGACTCATGAGTCACAGCTCCTGGCCTGGCTGGCTCTGTGTCTGAAACCACAGAAGATTTTGAATTAGGGCGCCAACAGTGCTGCCCTTTGATTGGGCTGCAGCGTGAGCATGTGACACCCCTTCACTCTGTGATTGGAGGGGCAGGACATAGCAGAGACTCCTCCACCAGGCTCCTGCACATCTTCCTCATGGGGTGGGGGAACCCAGTCTCGGTTGCCCATGTGGAGGTTTGGAGATTTCTCCACATCACGCCGAATGTTGCCAGGCCCCCTAACTTTCCTACATGCTGCCACGGGGGAGGCACATCCTACTTTTTTTGGTAAAAACTGAGCATTTATCCTGTTTGCTCTTGTTGGCAAAAGCAAATGGGACACATGCCCGTTTTGGTGGGTTGGGAGGGGGGAGTCAGGATGTTTAGGACTGAGCTTCCAAAGGAGACTGTCCTGGCCAAAGGGATATAGGGTCACTTTAATCCATTGAAATGGCAGGTTGAGATAAGGTGGGATTGAGGATAACATTGTCCCACAAAACAAGAGAGCAACTAAGAACAACTTGATGGAATATAGAAAGTGGAGGAAGTGTCTAGAGGTGACGGGAGGGATGGGGAGGAGAGGAAAGCATTCCCACAGCCCATGTATGTCCTGAAACAAAAGAGAGAACGTGATCCTTGGGAGCTTGGGACAGTATGCCCTCATCTCCAGTAGGGAGTTATTTCAGAATAACCCACCTTATTTCGAAATAATAAGTGGAGCGTCCACAATACCAAGCATGTCATTTCAAAATAAAGGGCTGGTTATTTCGAAATCTGTACTACTGCTTTCCTCGGGGAATAAGCTTATTTCAGGAGTTAGTGCTTCAGATTTAGTTATTTCAAAATAATTTCCTAGTGTAGACAAGCCCTATTAGAGCAACCGAAGAGGTAACTGTTTATGAAGCATGTACTTGTGAAATGCTTCCCTGGGAAATGTTTCTAGTTAGCAGACCTTGTGGAGTCAAATAATTCATTTTATTCATTGCCCTGAGATGTACAACAAGATTAGTCAGGGGGGAAATGTCTATCATATGGTGAGTAATTTCTCCTGGTACAACATGTGAGGGACAGAGCCTCAGTGGCTGTCAATCCTGTAGATGTACTGAAGTCACTGGAGCAACTCTGATTTACAGAAGGGGAGGACCTAGCCAGCAGCACTTCACAGAGATGTCCACAGTGTTCGCTGAGCTTGTCAGAGTGTAAAATATTTGGTGTTGCTGACTCTCATCCAGCATTCAGTCTAGTTCCCCACACACCTCCCTGTGAGACCTGGCAGAGAAGAGCTGCAAGCCTGAGACAGTCCTCTTTTTGTCTCCCCTGTAGTTGTTTTCCTCATCTGCCTTAGACACAGACTCTCAGATGAAGCTAATATTAATTTGTTGTGCGTCTTTTAGTCCACATTTGTAATGATTTGTGAAACAAATCCCTTTTCAGTTAGAATAAGGAGAGGGCTTGGGGTTTTTATAGACAAGGTTGAAATCAAAATTTCCATAGCTATTTTGAATTCTAAACCTAACCTTTCTGTTTGTAAACACTCTGGCAATTGAGAGACTGGTTTCCCCTTCCTTCTTCCACAAGGCATTTCTGATGCACCAGCTAAAAGCATTTATTTGCCTTACCTCCCTCTACCTTAACTATCTCTTTTTGGCTTAGAAATAAGAGTGTTCGGGTGAAAGATGCTATTAAGGATCCCAGAGAGACTCCTCGTCTTGCTCTTAATGGTTAAGATTAAAGTTTTCGGATTTCGCAGATCTGATTAATAATCCCCCCCCTTTTTTTGGACACCTTCCTCCTACTGTGTTAAGTCTCCCAAAGCCATATAACCACTTTCCAACTTATCTGTAGTAAAACTTCTCACAAGACCAGACTGGGGCCTTTCCTGGAAAGGGAGAACTAGTTACAGCCCTTCATGAAGGACACCTTTTCCCTTTTGATAACCACCAGACTCCCATCTACAGACTCGTGACCAGCATGAGCTGACCTGCCTCCAGAGCTCCACTAGGTGCACTCTGGACTGACCAGCAGAGTCCCTACTCTTAGCACTCTCTCCATGTCTCCAGCTTCTGCTGGCCTGAAGATGAGACCAAAACTGGGACATGAATACAGGTTTCCTGTCTGGAAGAGTGAGGCACTAGCTCTAGACCACAGAGCTAACTCTTTGTAAGCTATGCCAAATACCTTACACTTTACTGTCTGAAATTATATCTGGTTTTTTTAGGTATGCGGAGCACCCATTGAAGTCAGTAGGACCTCAGCACCTCCGACAATCAGTTAGCATAGGTAGCGGTCTGCAAAAGTGGAGGTAGGTGCTTAACTTTGCTTTTGGCTTAAAGTTACAGCAGAATAATACAGCACCTGCAAACACTGTTGACACTGGCATTGGAAATGCAACGTGTGCAGTGTTTTCATCAAGGAATACTCTTGTTTAGGCAACAACTGGTGAACTGTGCTCCAGTCTCAGTGCTTTCACTACAGAGCAAGTGTTTGTATCCATTCCAGACTAGATTTTCTGCTCTGCTCAGGCCATTTTGTCCTCCATAAATGGTGCAAAGTGGCATTCAACTGGCTGGAGAACTTCCCCTGAACAAGGGAACTCTGCCAGTGATAGCTGATGGAGGCAGCTTCTGCTCCAGTTCCCCCTCCCAAAAGTGAAGGAGGAGGCAGTGGGGGCACGTGGGGGCAGAGCCATAGATGGGTTGGGGAGGAAGGAGGGAGAGGGAAGTGATGTTATTCCCTCTTGCCCTGGGGCTAGGTGATCCTCAGTCAGAGAGCCATGTCCCTATGCTGCATCCAGGTGCATGTGGATGGAAAGCAGAATCCAGTGGAATTTTCAGGTAGGGGGTTGGTGTGCACTCTTCTTCTAATTCAAGAAAGACAAAAAGGAAAACTCAATTTCTGCCTGGTAGAGTATCCTGTAGGTGAGGTCAACCTACGTGCATCTTGTTGTTAGATTAAGGATAGCACCAGAAATTCAGACAGATTAGCCCTCGCTAGCCACTCTGCTTTTGTTGTCAGACTCTTCTGACTTACGTGAAAGAACTTTTATTGTTCATCCCTGGAGCCCTAAGCCTTATATTCTGGTTAAAGCACATTAATAATAATCGTGTATTCAGCAGCAGCTCTCTGTGCTCAGCAATGTTGAAGACCTAAAGTTAAGAGAGACCTTCCCCTGAATGTTTGCTGTCTGAAAGACCAAACCAGAAGTGATGAGACACATAGGAAGCCCTCCACAATAAATAGTAAAAGACTTCTCCAAAAGCAGCCCCCGTTTGCTAACCAGGAGCCAATGGCATGACATTAAACGTGACTGTTCTTGCCTACAATGCCTCAAACACTCAGCTTGGGCCTAATAATGCTTTCTTTGAAATCAGTGGGGAATGTCACCCTTGCTAGTTTAGCCAACACCGAGTGCTTCTGAAGCACTTACTCTGAGTGTTTCACATTGTCTTAGTCAACACATTATTTAACTTGTTCCAACACAATGTAACTTTCCAGGTTCTTAGAGATCTGCCATGTTGTCTGCAAGGACTAGAGTTGACCTGTATAGAGATTATCTGTAATGGTTCCCCAACCTCAGTCTAATTGTCTGTTTGGCTTTCCTTATATTGTGAGGTTTTTCTAACCAGAGACTCTGAATATTTGCAAAGCTCTTAAAACATCATGGGTGCTATCAGCAAAAATAAAACAATAATCTTTATTGTAAGATTCTAGGCTAGGGTTGCCAGATGGTTTCAGAAAAAATACCAAACAACAACAAAAAACATTCCAGGAAAAAGTTTGTTGAGAAAAAAAATAAGGGACTCTGAGAGTTGTTAAGGAAAAAAACATGTGGCCCCTTAAAAAACCACATGGTGAGGCTTTTAGGCCCTAACAGGCTGATGGCAGCCACCCGCCATCTTGCCTCCCTGCGCCAAGCCAGACAGCTCCCCTGCAGAACCCGGTAAGCACTAGGGTTGCTAGGCTGTCTCTATATTGAGCTGGACAGCCCAAGATTTTCGTCCCCTGGCTGGGAAAAAATCAAAAAGTTGTCCAGTATTTTCTGAATTCTTTTACCGGACAGGAGGTGAAAATAACGGACTGTCCGCTTTAATACTGGACACCTGGCAACCCTATTCCAGGCTTGTCTTTGTCACTACGAAGACTACGATGTCTGTATGGTGTAACGCGATGGGAGCAACTTCAGGCATGGCTGAGGGCTTTCTCTGTTAGGGAATAATCCGATCGAATCGTCATGGTCTCTTCCTGTCTAATTTGTTGAGTTCTCAGCTATTTTGGCTTTATGAATGATCATTGTGCAGTGTACTGCAGTAGTAAAGCATGTATCTATGGCTGGCGCACCAAGAATCCTTGTGATATCAGAAGTAACTCAACCAATCCCCACCACTGTTAATTTTTATGCAGCAATTTAACTGGCTGTATGAGGAAGACTGCACAGATGGTGAATCATCCACCCAGCTGCTACACATTGCTCATTGGCCACCCAACAACTTCAGACAACTCTCCCAGAACAACACAATCCACACAATATAACAACCAACATGTACAATAACCCCAAATACATACAACCTCTCACGACAGACCACAATGCTCATCTGCCACCTGCACAAATCCTTACAACTTTCATAACGCAACCCACTTACAAATCAGCACTACTACCCACACAATACCACAATCAACATAACCCATTGTATTTGTTCCTCTATAAGAGGAAAAGTGTTCTCAGGGCTCAGTAATTGGTTTAAAGACAAGAAACAAAGGGCAGGAATACATGGTCCATTTCCAGAATGGATAGTGGTAACTAGTGGTGTCCTGAGGAGTCCGCACTGGGACAATCCTACCCAACATATTCATAAATGATCTGGAGAAAGGGGTAAACAGTGAGGGAGCAAAATTTTCAAGTGATACTAAACTATTCAAGATAGTTAAGTCCAAAGCAGACTGTAAAGAGCTATAAACGGATTTCAGAAAATTGGGTGACTAGGCAACAAAATGGCAGATGAAATCCAACGTTGAGAAATGCAAAGTAATGAACACCCTTGCACTACAATCTTCTGCTCTAGCCGTGAGCTCCTCATCCATGGGCCCACGCCCGGGCTGCACCCTGATCCATAACCATCACAGCCTTGCACCCCAATCTTCTGCCCCAGCCATGAGCCTCTTCCCACAGTATGAACCCCTTGACCCTACTCCTGCCACATTAATTTCATTATGTGCACCAATATGAAGGTGATGCGTCACATATTATCGCCATATTAGAGCACATAATAAAATTCATTCCACTCGGGGTGGGAAAAATGTGAGGGAACACTGGATGATGGGATGGATCACCTGATTGCCTGTTCTGTTCATTCCCTCTGGGGCACCTGGCATTAGCCACTGTTTGAAGACCAGATATTTGGCTAGATGGGCCATTGGTTTAACCCAGTATGGCCATTCTTTTGTTCTTAACCCCGAACATCACTCTGAAGCCTAGAATATCGGTTGAGTCAGTGTAATATGATAGAAACAGCAGCAAGCATGAGATCTGGCTTGGTACCTCACCAGGCTGGTATGTATCAATGGGAATCATAGTTTGTTACTATCAGTTTTCAGCTACTTCTGGCTTTTTTTGTACATGACTTTACAAACTACACCCAAGCAACAGCATGGGCTTTCAGCTGCTAGTAATGAATGCATCTCTGTGCTAATCCCCTCTGACTACACCTTTGAAAAGTGTATTTACATTGAAAAAATAGGAGACCAATAGGGTGACAATTAGAGCCTCACTTAGCTTAAAGTCACATCACAGAGGCCTAAAAAAAATCCATTATAGGAGATGCTGAGCAGTGATGTTTTCAAGTCCGGCAATGATGAGAACACAGTCCTGGAACTATAATTATCACATGAAGCTAGGTAATTTTCAGCACAGGTACTCATGAACCCTGAAATATATTCTGGGCACTGTGAGAAATACAATTCTGTTGCTCATCAATGACACTCCTTTTGATGGAAAAGATAAAGTGATATACAGTCATGTCTCCCATGGTTAGCTATGGCCTGGGAAAGCTAGAATTCTGTGGTTTTGGCTTAGAGATTTTTTGTTTTGTTTTGCTTTGTCCCTGTCTTTCTTGCAAGTGTGTATCAAATAATGAAAAGCACTGTGTTGAAAGAGAGTGAAGATGTGTTGACACTGAGAAAGGAAAAGCTAAATATAAGAGTAGTTAAATGCACGTTTCATGATCTCAGCAGTCTGTGCCATGGGAAAAACATCTAAGTTAAGTTCAGCTGTATGTGCTCAACAACTGGGCCTTAAAATGACTCTGAGTGGGCTAAAACAGCTCGAAGCCCTGAAAAAGTCAGTTGTGTCGCCACGATTATACTTAATTGGCATTGTGGGAAGCCTGCCTTTCTAAAAATCAGCCCACACTGTCCCCTTGTTGAAAGAGCCTTTTCATTAGCTCCTGTAGACGTGCAGCCAAACACCCCAGCAAAAAAACAGCATTGTAATCTCATTTCAAAAGAGAGCAAAGAAGTCCAGGGCTATTCAAGCATTCCCACTTTCCTCAAGGACTCTTCCTGACAGTCGCCATTCTGGACTGTCTAAGCTTCTCTCAGCACCCCACAAAAGGGACTTTCCTTCCCGTGTCCTTTCACCAGACACTTCTTCCCTGTCTCCCTTGTATTCTCTGAATCCCTCCTTCAGTGGGTTGGCTCGATAACATTAGCTCAGCAGCCTCCCATGGCAGCATTATAAAGATGCAATGTTTTCTGCTAGGACGGGATTTAAATCTAGTCCAGGGTCACTTGTGTCTTTCTTTGAGAGATGAAAAGATAGGGTTGTCTCTGGTAGACTGAGACTTGAAGGCTGTTCACATAGCTCAAACTACAAGGCCATTGCCCTCCATTTCACAGGTTCACAGTCCTGTAGTGTATGCAACAGAACTACAGCCTTGGGTGTACCCTGCGTGACTCAGAAAAAACCTCCACTGTGCTTTTATTGGCTCCTTTGGTATTTGTGTTTGTTTTGACCAAAGTATGTGATCCCTTATCTTACCATCAATAAGTCTACTCCCATCACAGCTGTACGCTCAGTAAACATTATTGGTACAGTCCAGGGACCCATGTGCACACATTTATTTAGGGTACTACAGCACTTTTACTGTGGCTGTGATAAGCGGAGTTTGCAACTAAATAAAACAACTGACAAAGAACAAGAAAGCTCAGAAAGTCTCCTTTCAAGCCCTGTTTCTGGAAGGTGTAATAAACTTTAAAATTCCCTCCATCATTCTAAAGGCCAAATTCTATCCTGCTTGTGCACGCTCCCCTGGTCAGTGGAAACATGTATCTGTGTACATTGATCTGATAACAAAATGTGGTTGTAACTTCTATTGAGCTTTTTTGTAGAGCTCAAAGCACTTTATGGAGGCTAAAGAGGCATATAAATAATAACAGCCATGCTCCAGTCTAAAGATGCCCCACTCCACATTTTTTGAAGGGCAATCAGAGACTGATTACCATGCAAACCCTAGCAATGTAAGGCAGTTAGTCTTTCCTAAGATTTACTAAAAGGGCTTAATAAAAAGTCTCAACAAATATCTATGTAATCGGTCAGACTTGATCCATCTGTCGGGATCCATTCATTACTTGGCAATAAGTTCAAGAAGCTCCAGGGAAAATAATGGAGTTATTCCAAATTTTACACCATTAGAAGAGAGATCAGAGTCTTGCCCTCTTCAGTCTCTTCTTTTGGACCCAAAGCAATTGCTTGGAAAGTGACCACTAGGACCTAAAGTGCTTCTGTGGCATCCAGCACCAGCACTGTTACATGCAAGGGGGAAAGTCCCTAGGACAGTGGTCCCCAACCATCTGAGGTTGCAGGGCACCAGGGGCCGTGGCTGTTCACCAGACTACCGGGAAATTTGTTTTCCAGGACAACAGGAAGTCTAAGATCACCCCAATGAGGGTTAAAATCTCTCCCCACTCTGGTATGAGGTCTGTGTAGGATGTAAAGTAGTTCCAAAAACCATCCATAGGGGGAGTTGTATTCAGCAGTGGTCCCCAACCACTGGAGGTTGCCGGGCACCAGGGGAAGTGGCTGTTCACCCGCCGGGCACCAGAGGGTGGGAACACTTGCGCGCCCGGGGCCGGCGCTCCCCCCCCCCAAGCGTCGCACGCCCGGGGCCGGCTCTGGCATCATGCATGCGCCACATGCCCGGAGCCAGGCCAGCCCTGAGCACTTGGCGGGCGCACACAAATGCCCCCACGGGCGCCATGGCGGGGACCACTGCCCTAGGATGAATTAAGCAAAGGAGGAAAGAGAGAGGCCTGAGAAAACAAAGATGTTCCTAAAAGGTGCGTCAACACAGCGAACTAAACTCGAAATAAGATACGCAATTTGTGCTATGCAAATTCTGTATCTTATTTTGATTCTATTTTGAAATTTGAAATTTGGCGCATCTACACAGTGCCAAATTTTGAAATAATGCTCTATTTTGAGACATCCCTTAACCCACATGGAATGAAGGTTGCAGGGATGCCAAAATAGCGCACCTGTTATTTTGAAATATACTTTGAAATGACGGGTGGCTTGTTAAGATGCATGGTAGTTATTTCGGATACCGCTGGTATCCTGAAATAGCTGCGCAGTGTAGACGTAACCGAACTGGAGAGAAGGAAGCATAGGGCTTTGCATACCTAATCTGCTTCATGACAACCCCAAGCTCCCAAACTCAGAAGCTGTTTTAATTCTGATATACAGTACGAAAGTCTAGCCACTCTAAGCGGCTCAGGAGAACTAGAAGATACGCCTTTTCCCTGCCTGAGTCCCTGCTGCCAGTAAACATTTCCCACAGGAAAACGAACGAATCTGTGTCCAATGTAATTATTCATAAAATGTGTTCCATTTGTTTCTCTTTTTCCCTCTTTCATACAGATAGCCAGTTGGAAAAGGAGAGCCCTTCAAATGCAGCCCTTCCCCACCCCACAATGAGCCTCATCAGGTCTTCCATCTCATGTCACAAGAATGCTGTTACCTTTATGAGATGTAGACATGACCTGAAAGGGCAGACTGCAGTGCCAAAAAGTCACAGAGCTTATGTTACAGAAGAGGAGACTTTGGAGCCAAGGCAAACTTCATCAAATGTGACATATCAAGGTGAGTTTATGCAAAATATGACCTCTTTTTTTCTTTGTTCCTTACCTCTATTTGCATGGTCTATGGAGTTCATGGACTTCCTTTCAGCTCCAAAACAATTACTTGTTAGCTCCTTCTATGGACTTGAGAACAGACACACACACACACACACACACACACACACACACACGCGCGCGCACGCACACACATGATATAAACATAGCTAGCCAAATTGCCATTTGCACAGACATGCATGCATATTTTACAGATAACATGCATGTATGTCTGGGCAAATAACAATTTGGCCAGCTATGTTGGTGGCCAAATACCTGATTATTGCAAGTATGGATTAGGCACACAAAGGAGCACAGCACAGGGGTTTGTTTGTTTTGCTTTACTTTTTTAAGGTCAGGCCTTTAAGCCCGATCAGGTCTTTCATGCCATAGGGACGGTTCTGTTCATTCAGTGAGTTTTTATTATTATTATGATTCTCAGAACAAACAATTTTTCTATTTCTAGTTTGTTTTCTCAACTGTTGTTTGTTTTCTAACTCTCATGTTCATTCATACATGTGTCTTTAAAGATTAAGGGTCAGAGTCTCAGCTGGTGAAAATCAGAAGAGCGCTGTGGATTTTTAGTATGAACTTTCTGTCCTTTAAATTTTGTTTCCTAAAGCTTACTCTTTTGTGCAATCTTTGCATAAGGAGTAACGGTAGTCCGAATTAGGGGCTTTAGTTCAAACTACTTAGCCCATGCCGCGTGTAGCCATGGGCAGGGAGTTCAAACTACCAGGCATTTAAAAATGGCGGTGCCCGGGAACATGCAAATAAAGCCCGGGATATTTTAATCCCGGGCTTCATTTACAAGTTCAAATGACTACATTAGCCACCCTAGTTCAAACTAGGGGGCTAGTGTAGATAGTGTACATATTATGAAATTCTGCCCTTAAATTAAATGAAGGAGTTGCTACAAATAGTCTTACCTACCTGGTGCATAATATTGAGCATATTATGAGACAGGATAGCCTGAACACAATAGTCCTTTTCCTTTCCTATTTCATTTTCAGTGTTCCTACAGTACATTGCAGTTCGAATTCAGGCATATTAGCTTCAAGCAAATTGACAAGTTCAAGCATGAATCTAATTCAAACTTTGAATAAAAGCCATCTGTGACAACTCTAATTATTAAGCAGATGCATTGCTTTTACATTAATTTATTACTTAGAAACAATTATAACCATTCTTCTCCACATTCATTCATATTTCAGTGACTTAGCAGACAGGATACTTTATCATTAAAACTTGGATGAAAATACAGGTCTGCTGTCTACCAATAAATTGCTTCTGTGCCTGGATGCTGACTACACGATCACATACATGCACGGATGGGCCAAACCATTTCACTGCACTCTAAATAGAGATGAATCCAGGGGCAGAGATCCCATGAAATGTGGGGGCACACACGAAAGTGCCCACACCAATAGATCATAGCACTATTAACAGAAGAGCTGACAAAGGTTGTATCTGCCCTTTAATTGATAGTCTATGTGAGTCACTTGTGGTTTGATTTTGCAATATGGGATCACTGTTGGATCCTCAAGGTTGCAGTCATTTCTTTCCAATGTGACCATATCACCATTAACTACACCTTTGTCACGTGCCCCAAGTTTGTTGCAACATGCTGTACATGGGGCTGCACATGACATCATCTTAGAAGCTGTAGTTGGTGCAGAACATGGGGATTTGTTCACTAGGGCTGTGTCTAGATTGCAGGGGTCTAGACTACAGCCGTGTTCTTTCTAAATTAAATCGAAAGAACGTGACTTTTCTTTCGACGGCGGTACTCCTCATTTCACGAGGAATAACTCCTTTTTTCGAAAGTGCTCTTTTGAAAAAAGGAGCTATGTAATGCAAACTGTGCTTTTTCAAAAGTACTTGTTGAAGTCTAGACGCTCTTTTTCAAAAGAGGCTTGCAGACTAGACGTATCCTAAGTGGAGTTTCTCACTGTAAGCGCTTTGCAGCACTCTGTGATCTGTACTGGCTGACCAGCCATTTCCAGCTGCAGCCTATGGTGGTTTTGACTGATACGATGCTGAAGTTCTTGGAACTCGCCTACCTGCTGGACTTCTCTTGCTCCCTGAGTAACAGTGCTGCAGTCCTGATCAGCAGTGGATCTTGAGGATCTCCAGCATGGGCCTTCAGATTTGGAATTGACTTCCCCCACTTGGTTCAGAATAAGCCTGTTTGACCTTCATGCGCCATCTCTCATCACAAGCGTTTTGAGGAGGAAGGGCTGAGATCAAAGCACTGAGGTTCAGGACACATGGTCACGTTAGTTCCCCCTCAGCCAGGTTTTGTTTCCAGGGAGGTTCCTACATTCATGTATGTTTATATAGAGTGGCCTGTATTTGTAATATATGACAAAAATGTCTAGAATCCTTAATGGAGCCCTTTTAATATTTTGTTTACATCTACATAAATAAATACATTAAATAAATAAATAGTTGTTGAGCTCTTTTGGACGTAGCTATGGTAGAAAAAGATGTGGCTTTAACTTAGCTTAGCTGGTCAAAGTAACTGCAAAGGAGCCTAGCATTCGCCCTATCCAACTAGCATGTGTTAAAATTGAAATTGGCCTTGTCCACCCTGGTTCATGTGCATTGGCTAACTCTGTTCAAAACACATCCCCTTCTTGCTCCGGGCAAGCCTTGCTGGGAGCAGGGGAAGTGCTGCCTTCTTGCATGCCATCTGGGAGTGATCTAAGACAAGACAAACTGCGTACCAGTCCACAGCCAGGTATCAGTCATATTCCCCATTGAAGTTGTGTGGTGAGAGCAAGAAGTGGTCATTAAACACTGTTCAGACCTTCTGCGCTAGGGTGACTTTCCCTCTCAAGGCATTGGGTGGCCATGTAAAATGGGAGATGCTACTGACCACAGGCAACCTGTTTCCATCTGTCGGTGGGGGCCGGTGAACAGTGGCCACATGTTAAAAAGGTAACTGGCCAACTGTTCTTTGAAGAAGTGGCAGGCTTCAAATTAAGCAAACAGCTAGCTCATAGCATTGCCAAGTTTAGCTAATTCATTTTCACTATTTGCTCCCCTTTATCTCCTCTTAGCACTTTGAGATCTTGCTAATTAAGTTGACAGAGCCTACACCTGCAAAACACACCACATTCCTTTATTCTGCTGAGAACAGAAAATGCTAGGAAGGGCTAGGGTTGCCAGGTGTCCGGTTTTGAAGTGGACAGTCCAGTATTTGAGTTTTCTGTTCGGGAAACAAATTGAGAAAATATAAATGGCCGGTATTTTCTAAATATGATGTAATGTAGATTGTGATGTAATGTCAAGTGTGTCTGATATTTTGTTGAAACCATCTGGCAACCCTCGGAAGGGCAATCACAGCCTGTGCTACCTGTGATCAATAATTGTCTCCCACGGTCCTTTACATGTCACCACACAGTAAAAGGGCAGAAAAAGCCTAGTCACACACAGCTGTTCAGGTGCAGGGAGGTAGTTGTTCCACTCGAGGGAGATCTTGCTTTGGAGCAGCTAGAGTCAAACACTGCCTAACAAAGAATATAAAGGTAACAGCCAATTGTTGCTGGGGTGACTAGAAGAGGAACTGGAAAGGTAGACAAGAATTCCACCCTTTTCCTGGTATCGCCAGGGGTTTCTGTGTGTAATAAAGAATGCCCAGGCCAGACACTACTGCTTATGAGCACCAGGAATGCTAAGAATTACAATTATGGCTAACCGTGTCCCCTTCCTCAGAAACCTGGGGCCTGATTTGCCATTCTGGCTGACTGGACTACACATATCCCTAGAGGTGCATGTGCAAAATTGTTTTATGCCACAGTCTGTTCTGGGGCTGTGCAGGGGCCTGCCCAACTCCTGACATAAATAAGAGATTTTGAAGATGCTCTGTCTTAACCTCTTGCTGCTCCAGACTCCTAGGGACCATTCCAGCAGTGAAGAATAACCCAAGCACACAATGTGCCCTAGCAATGCACCCTGTGCTGGCACACCTTGTGGAGAGACGGCAGCTCTGGCATAGAGGAGGCCATGGGGAAGGGCTGAATTGTGGGGAAAGGCTACGGGGAAAGGCCAGAGCAGGAGGGACAGACTTCAGCAGCAATGAAAGGCTCCAGTAGGGTGGCAGTGGGACACTGCACTGCTTGAAATAGCAGTGTAGAGAGAAAGGGGAGGAGTGGGCCAAGAGAGCCGTGCAGGGTATGGATTTGTACCTATCCACTGCTGAACAATAAAAAACTGGGCTCTCATGGCCCAGGAGCAACTTTCATTTTCACCCCTTCCCCCCAACATTACCTCACCTGGGGAAATGGACAGTGGCTTTTCTGGGATGATGTGAGGGGACGAAACGTGCCTTAGTGGCACTCAGCATCACTGTGCCAAAGGAATAGACATTTGAAGAACACTGACTCTATATTAAGGGTGAGGAGGAAGAAGGGTGTCATTTTATTCTATATAAAACCTTCATCTCCAATGTACAAGATGGAAAGCAGTGTAAACAGCCACCATGCAAAACATTATCCTGTTGTTAGATGCACGTCCTGGAAATGACTGACACAAAGAATACAACCTAAGTGGTCAGCTAGAAATGAGCTATCCCCTCCCCTCAATCAAAGGGAACCTGGGCATACAGCGATTCCTGCAGTGAGATGGTCTGGGAGATGAATGATGGGATAGACCCATCCCTAGCTTCATTAGAGACAGTTAAACTTGATTCATCCTGTCTCCTGCCGCTCCCTGCTTTGGCTCCCTATCAGGGAGAATACCAGGGCGTTTCCCATGCAGGGTCAGTTGTCAGAGGCAGAGCTGCATAAAATACAGCTTCTACAGGCCATTTGTGTGAGTCAGAGTCATTTCAGAACAGCCCCCAGCTATTGGAAAAACAACTCCCAAAGCAACTGGGGTGGTTCCCAAGCTAATAGATGACCACTGGGAAAGAGAGGAGCCAATAAAAACTCAAGGTAAGAAATTAGAAGGTCCCAAAAATAATTCCAAGCTGCATCATAATACTTATCATTTGAAATCTTCAAAGCATTGTGCAAACATTAGCTAATGAATCCTCTCAACACTCCAGGGAGAGATTATCCT